AGTTGCCAGAATTTTTTTCCTTTTAACATTGAGAAACAATGTACTTTTCCTACCTCCTTTTCTAGCAAAAGCTAAAACAGGTCAGCTGCAATTTTCCAAAGCAATTCAGCCAGTAGCAGATGCCTGGCATGCAAAATTGCAGCCAGAATAGTTAGAGTTTGGCAGAGTTATAAGCCACCAAACACAGGTTCTTAGAATGGCAGAGATCAGGCAAGCATAATAACAGTGTTTGCAACCAGCTCCCCCTATTATATTGAAGCAGTTGGGTAAATACCATCCACACCATAGTAAGTCTCTACTATTCTAGGAGGCATCAACCCAGCCGCTAAGTACCCTGTTCACCTAGCATGAAAGTCAGTGGTATAGGATCAGGCTAAATTTTCTACCCATGATGCCCTGTCCATGCGGAAACCATGCTTGCATTGTTGTGCAGGAAATCCAAGGCCACATGTGGAAGAATTTCCTCTAAAAGTTACTGCTGCGATCCACTCTCAGTTAACTGAAGGCTGTTTTTTTTATGTGCGATTGCATTAGGTATTCTCCTAAAGTGGCATAAAATGCACAAATACAATATACCACTCTTCTTTTTTCTTCCTTTTCCTTCTGCTTTTGCAAACAAGAGCTCTCACATCCCTTCTGATCAGTGATAACTTGGGTTTTATCCCCTCTTGAAACAAATGAAATTTCTTTGACATAACTTTGCACAAATATATTTTAATGAGAGAATATCACCTTGCCTTGAGCTAAGGGTCTTCTTTTGGAGTTGCAAGGGGGTTTGCAGTCATTTTCTTACAAGTTTGAGAACATAAAAGTTCAGCAGCATGTTTGAATGCTGTACACCATTTCCCCAGGAACCGTGTTTAGTCACTTCAGACTGTCACAGGGGGGGCACGATTTCAAAGGCCTGCTGTAAATCATGGAAAAGGACATCCACTGGAGCTCTCCATTGTCCTGATTCAGCCCTTTGTGTCTTCACATCTAACTGGAGAATGGCACAAAGTACTTCTCGTTAGGTGCTAACTGGGGTGACATAGGTAATATGAAGATGTCTTTGAAACAGTGATGCATTCACCAGGGACTGTGAAAAGCCCCAAGTACAACAAGACTGTCCATCGGTAGGATCGTAGGAGTATGGTAGCCAGATACAGAAAAGAGAGCTTAACCGTCCGCGTTACACCACGTGTCCAACTCGCAGCATACGTGATGTTAGCTGAAGACCAGAGTAGAAGCCACCCAGGGATTACACGTACAAGCGGGTATTCTGAAATGAATCACGGCACCTGGAGAGAGGAAACATCTGCAAGCCTATTGAATTTCGCTCCATGTCAACACAGGACTGATTTGCGCAGAATAAAAAGTTCTGGGACGCGCGCCTACGGCTGCTCCAGATGGTAGCTCTATGATGAGCCAGTTTAGCAGCATGTTAGCAGCAGCTCTCTAGACTGTCATTTTGCAGTGGGCCCCCCACCTGGAGGAGGAACGAGGAGGATGGAGCCCGCTCGGGGACCTCCGTCCTCTCAGCTAATCAGTATTTGCATTAGGCTACGCCAATGACAAGCAGGCAAATCCTAGGCTGAGCTGAAATGCCGTGTGGCTCTAGTGAGTCCACGGATGCTATTCAGCTGTCCTTCTGCAAACACTTTTCTTTGTTGTTAATTTGCTGTAATTAAACCATATGCAAGGTTCTCTCACTCTACGTTAGAAGCAGAGACCTTCTGCTGCCCATATGCCAAAAAGACAAATGAAGGGCAAAGCTCACGTGAAGAAGGCAAAACCTGGCCTTTGCAACTGATAAGCTGTAAATGCAAAAGGCCTGCTATCGGTATACGCACAGGAGCTCCCACGCCCCTTCGGGGGGCACAGAAAAGAGGTAAAAAAAAAAAAAAAAAGCACCAGACTTGATCCCCGGTGCTGATTGTTTCCTCTCTGCATGGTCTCAACTGTGCTGGTCCAGTTCTGGCCATTGCTCAGGTATAAAGTAGCCCCGATGAGGGCACAGGGCCCTATATTCCCTTTGCAGCTGTGCAGGACAGCTCATAACAATTCCTCTGTTGCTGGAAGAGCCATGGCATTTCTTCTCAAACACTAATAAACATGGCATAGTATTGCCAGAAATGTCAGGAAACTTGGAGTTCTTCCTTAAAGCACCAGGTCTTGGAGTCATGTGATTATATGAGCATCTCAGGGGTTTTTTTAATATCAAAGTAATTTTTTTAACCATAACAGCTCTGAAAAAAAATGCTTGAACATGTGTCCTGAGGACACCATAAATACACAAAAGGTAGGAAGCAAGTATAAATGTATTTTTCTCATGATGTTTAAGACAAAAATTCATGATTGGGGGTAGGGCCGATAGAGTATTTTGTCCATTCAGGATTGGCAATATGGAAACTGTCCCAATTTCTTTAAGAAATCGTGGTTCTCCGCTATTTATTTTCTTATACTCACCAGGCAGGAGGTATGAATTTTTGCAGCGTAAAGAAAAGCCCCCAAATCCTTCATGAAATCTGAGTAAATTGTAAGTCAATATGTTTTTTAAAAAAACAGCAAAACCCCAGCAAATATATAAATTAAGGCAAGAATCTGGAGTTTCATGTAACGGAAACAGAAAGCTGATTCAGCAGAACAAGCCAGAGTCATAAAAGATTTATTACGCTTTATCAGCAATATCCACAATCTTTCTGTGATTAGAGTTGCATTGTGTGTAATTATCTTATAGAAGTTCTGCTCTTTGATGTGCTTTATCCACCATACTGAAATACAGTTCAATTCTAGTGGGTTTTCATGGTTGACTGGAATTTACATTAATTCCTTTGGGCCTGCGGGGCCCTGCCTGGTCTGTCACTAGCAAACTCTTCATAAATATTCAGATATATATATAAAACATTTTTTTTCTGCAAAGTCCCAGTTCCAGACCAGCACAAACAGGAGGAAACAAAGAGCCTGACTTCCCAGTAATGATCTTTAATTAAATATTCACACTCTTGTGTTTTCATCCCTTTTCCCACAAATTAGGGAATGATTGAAATATTTATGGTAATTTGCAAACTGAGGTTATTTTCAGCTTTTTTTTAATATAAATGTCTTGGCAAAGTGGGGAAATAATTTCAGCTCATTTCATTAAGTTTGATGTTTCCCAATTACAAAAATATTCTTTTTATTATTAGTATTATAACACGGCAGGGAAGCCAAAAAGCTATCAGCATCCTTGGTTTAGAGAGTGTTGCTACTTTTGTCCAAGCCATTTACTGGTGTTTAAAGGATCGTCTGTATAAGCTGCTCCAACGCTTTCAACTCCCAGAGACCAGGGGCTTGATTCTGCTTCCCTGAATTTCAGGGGGGGGTTTGCAGTCGTCTTCTGTTGCAGCACAACCGGGTTTCTGAATAGCTGCGTGATCCCTGAAGGATGCTCAGTGCTGTGCAGGATCAGGCCTATGCTGTAAGAGGATCCATGCTGCTTGTGGGAGCACGCTGCCATCTGCAATGTGCCCCTCCTCCCTGAAATGACCCAGAAAGGTGGGTATAGTCAAGGAGGCTCCGCTTCCAAGCCAGGGTCTCCAGGCCAGAGAGGCGCGTCAGAGCGTCCTCCTTCCATTGCCTCACCGCATAACGTGTTTGTACTGACTGCAACCTGGAAGCCTAAGATTGCATTGCCCGAGCAAATCTGCTCTATCATTGCTGACTTATAGTCCATAAGAAAGCGGCAGTCGCTGGGATTGTTTTGCTCAAGGAAGGCAGAGATGGTTGTTGGCTGGCGTGTTGGCGAGTTCATTTTACCTTTATAATCAAAGCTCTTCCGGTTCCTAAGAAATTTATATTTAAATGGAGACCACCGAGATTAAGCGTGTCAAGAGGAGCTTGAGTGCTGTGCCATTTGAAAGGGCTGATAAAGTTAAAACAGAAGGAGGAAAGACGTATTTTTGCCTGTTCAGCTTGAGCCCTTTCTGTGCTATCCCGCTGTATTCACCCGTGCTCCGGATGTACACGCACGTACAGGATATAGCTCGGTGCCTTTGGTTTGCTTTTGCTTTTAGTAATTGGTGAACTGAAATGACCTCGAATTTCAACATTTTAATCAATTCTCATCATTTGCTGGGGCTAAAAAAAAAAAAATCAACTGGCTCTGTCATTGCAGACCAAATCCTAGTCGGAACTGAAAATCTGCAACACTGCAGAGAAGCCAATGGGGCGTCTCAAGTGCTCAGCACCGTTCAGGATGTGGCCCGCAGTAAATAGACATATAGAAAAACAGGTCAGGATCCTGTTCTTGTAGTGAATTTTGCTCATTGATTTCAATGAGAAAAAGAATTCCCCATTGCTTTGTCCAACACAGCTCTAAATACTTCAAGCTTATGGCTGAAGAAACTTTTCAGAAGCCCAACCTCACCATCAGGAAACTTTTTCCAACATTTTTCTTTTCACTTCTGGGAACTGTGCATACTTTGCCCATTGATTCAAAAGTATACATTGAATTAGACTATATTGCACTTCAGTTCATTGGAGAGGACATCCACATTATCAACTTGACCAGATCTTCACCTCTTCCCCACTGCCCAATCTGGGGTTGCTACTATTGTTCACATTAAAAATCTCCATAAAATATCCCAAATTCATTCATCAAGGTCTGAGACTATTATTTTTGTCTGCAAAATCATGGATTTATTCCTTTATTCCAAGGCCTTATTATTTTTGTTTGCAAAATCATGGATGCCTTCCTTTTTTAACCCCATTTCCTCTATGCTCACCTAGACTGCTTTGGAAGGTGGAGTGGGGATACAAAAACCTCTTTCCAGGGTCATAGCACTAGATAGGAAGATGTTTGTTTGTCTCAATGCAAGTGGGCCTAATTAATTTAAATGTAGGGAGAGAAGAGGGTGAGAAGGATTGGTGTACGTACATACAGGTTTGGAGGGTGTGGGGGAAAATGCTAGTGCAAATCCTTCTTGTTGAGAGAGGAAATCAATACATTTGAGTAAGAATTGAAACACGTTAAGAGCGGTATGCTTATTAGCGCCTCACAGCAAAATAATCTGCGTCTGAAAGCAGACAGGGACGAATATCAGAACGACTGTAATGGAACACAGATTGGTTTAATAGTATCAAAAACTCTTTTGAAGGCAGATGTGTCCGTCAGAGCAGGTGGGTACGGCGTAACACGGACGACTATCTCTAGGTAGAGACTTTGTTAAAGGAAAAGGAGGAGGAGGGGGAATTGAAATTCTGTTGTCAAGTAACATCACGCTTTAATTTCATGCCACATTATGACAATCTGGTCTGTAAAGCACTCCCAGTGTGTGGCTGCAGAGCTGCTGTATTACAGCTTCTGCTGGCAAAGCTGATAGGCCCAGAAGACCTGCAGCCCTCAGCTAATTGTAAACCCGATTAAATAGCAGTGTGAAGAAGTTTGATTAATTCAATCTATGCATCAATCTCCATGCATCAAGACCAGAACCAGACGTGATGAGAGGCCCACATCTTCGGCGTAACCCATCCTTTGTTCTTCTCATTTAAAAAAAAAAATTTTTATATATATATAAAAATAATGATACTCTGGGAAAAGGATGAAATTATGAAACGCAAGGAACAATTCCACTGCCGTCCTTTATGACTCCACCTTTAAAAAAATAATACATTAAAAAGATCATTTCAATTAGCATCTTTATGCGCTTACCCGGATAAATTACCATATTAATAAACTTGTGATAGACTTTCAGGGGCTGCTTAACCAAGGGCTTCTGATCCAGCTAAATTCATGGTTTCTTGGACAGGAGGGATTTGGACTTCATTAATTTTAGTTGTTTCAGTTTTGCTGAAAGTGTCGACTACCCCGTCTCTGCCTAGTGCATGTGAAGTGCAGGCAGAAAGATGTAAAGAGAGGGGCTAGAAAAGAGGGGTTTCTGTCAGCTGTACCTTTTGACCTCTTTACAGCTACTGTATTCAACATGTGCTGCAATGAGCAGCATTCTCTAGCAATAAATCGCCTTCTAGTGTTTTTATATGATGAATAAATATTTATGCTATGGCTTTCATCTGTCTGAAGTGCTAGTATGTTGATAAAATGTTTATCCAACTCTGAAAATGTCAGAATAGCAGCGCAAGAATGATGTTAACGTGCTCCTCTGAATTTTTACCTTGCATGCAGATGTTACAAGTCAACCAGTGCTGTCCACGGTGTAATTGCTGGTTATTTTGGGCAGTAAGCAGGGACTCCAAATGACACTGATGTGCTAATGCTGTGATGACGGTAGAAATGCTTATTACTTGTATCCGTAAGCTGACTCCGGGGATTTTTCACAGACATAGGGATTTGTACCAAAGGACCCAGATACAGGATCAGGGCTGTACTTTGTATAATGCCCTTCATGCAGTATGTATCCAAAAATGTTTTAGAGTTAAACAACAGAACGGTGGCAGTGGAGGAAGGAGAAGACCAACCCGGGGCTGCGAATCCCACTCCCCCGCACAACAACATGCCCCCATTGCCAAAGGCTGCGTGTATCCAGAATTGGGCTCCTTGGTCACCTGAGGACTCATCAAGCCTGATAGACATCATCCTCGACTCTGAGGGGCTGCCAACGATTCAAAAATGTTTTAGAGTTAAATAATAGCACTGACAGAGAAAATAATCACACAGAGGGAGGTATAGACAATGGAGAGAAGACTTGTTTCCATCAGAGATTTGCAGTCACACAGGAGGTTAGTGAAGCAGAGAGATAAATGAAGCTGTTGGGGTGCTAGGTTCCCCAGAAAGGGAAGTTCCTGCACCTACAATGTGAAAATTTCTGGAGAAATAGAAAAAAGATTGAATGGTAGACTCAAGGAAACCCATGGAATAGCTTATATATAATGACAGCAATTTTGAATGTGATCCTTTAATGAATGGGAAGCCAGTAGGATTGCTTAGGGACTGAAAATGATGTGGTCACCCTTTGCAATTCATATGGGAAGCGTGGCCTTGTTCAAGGCATATGGATTCCAAGGAGCCAAATTTGGGGAGTCGTAAGGAAGAGAATTGCACACTATCAAGCAAAGAAGAGATGATGGTACAGATGACAGTGTGTAAGCCCATGTGTCTGATGAAGCTGTGACTTGCTGACATTATGTAACCACTTGTGGTTGCCCACTGATGTAATTAAAATGCCCAATCCTAATGATGCTACAAACGGTCCCAATCCTCCCTATCATTAGAATGCATAAGGTCAAGAGCTCATTGAATAATGGAATTGCCCTTCCATAGCAAACCGTGACATTTTGAAATTTGCTTTCGCTCCAGTTAGGAACAAACCCCAAACTGAAACATTTTCCATGGAAGAAAAATTTAAACATACATATGAAAACGAGAATCATGAAAATGTTTAATCTAGGTAATGTCAAGTTGTTTTATTTCAGTCCAAATGAACTATTATGATAAACTTTCAAGTGTTAGCCATATCACCTTAAATGTAATGCAATATTAAAATCGTATTTTAATATGCTGTTAATATCAAAATTGAAATTACAATAAATGACTTGAAACTATGAGGTCAAACAAAACATGGAAACACGACCCAGATGAAATGTTTCACCACTCTCTAAATGAAACAGAAAACTTCAATAATGTATTTCTGTTTTTCCCATCAAAATCACCATGTTCCCATGAAATGTTTTGGTTTCAATAAAACTTCCATAAAAACGGTTTTGACAGAAAATGTTCCCCTAGTTCAAGCAATGGCACCCTTCCCAACCTGAGGGACCCACTCTCCTCTCATTCTCATATGGCTTTGAAGTGACTTCAGCAGAGGTTACGTGAGCAGCTCAAAGAGACAGTAGCATCTGATGGCCTTGCCTCTAGGACTCGAGGGAGTTTTTGTCACTGACTTCACTGGAACCAGGCTATCACCCAATAAGTGCCCCTCTGCTTTTGTTTCCCCCACTTTGAATGTATGTTTCCACCCAAAAATGTTGTTCCTATAATAGTAGATAATATGAATAGGGTTTTTTTTAATGAAAAAGCACTTTAAATACTCATTTTTAGGGACTGATCCTAAATGAATGCTGAAAAAGCCCTTCAGTGTTTGGTTAAATATTGTTTTGATGCCTGAATGCATTTGATAGGCCAGTGGTCATTCCTTTGTGTTTTTTCTGCAAGAGTTTTAATAAATGAACTTTACTGGCATGAAGAACCCCAGAAGCATATTTTAAACTCAAATGGTTTAATTTGTCAAATGCAAATTTCCCCACTGAACAGTGAGGATTTCAAACAATAATCCATCAATTTTCCCCTCAAATTTGTGTTTGAAAGGGGTGTTATTGTTGGTTTATTACTGGTCAGTCATGGAACAGAAATAATACCAGATGATGTAAGCCTATCAACCTATCAAGAACTGAGAATTTCAGATATTCACAATCAGCTGTTTGCAACTGATCTGCAAACCAAATTACCTACACACACACACCATAAGCTGTACAGAAGGATCTTGCACCATATATATATGCGTATGTGCATGTGTGTGTGTGTATGTGTTCATATACATATATATATATATATACACACACACACACACACACACACATATACAATCTCAAAGAAATATAGAAATCAAAGAAATCAGGGAATCTGTTTCATGCTCATTTTGCAAAGAGAGAGAAAGAAAAATTGGTAAATCTGTTCCTTTCTATAGCAGGGACCTGGCTGAGCCCGCACTTACCAGGGCAAAGACTGCCATCATCCCCCGCAGGTGGTGGACTCCCGGTCAGCCCTGAGGAAAAGCAGTGAGCCTGTGGACCAACACTGTGCTCCGCCATGCCCCCGCTCCCTGGGTGGGATGGGCAGCTGGTGGGCACTGCAATCTCCACGGGCCCATTCCTTGGACTGGAGGGAAAGTAGGAAGCTGGGCTTCACATGGGCCCGGGTCCCAAACCAAGAAGATAGGCAAGCGGCTGGCACAGCTAGTGATGCCTAAGTCCTGGAAGCTGCAGGTGCAGGAGCTGATGAGCCCTCTGGGGCTCTCAACATCTGGTGGCAACCACAAGACACATAGTGGCAGGCAAGGATCTCGGTTGGCCCAGGCCAACCCAAAACTTCCTGCATAAGGCAGCACCAGCTTCAGAAGGTGGGGAACGCTGGTGTAGGCACTGGCCCATGCCACATCCCTACACCAGAGCTAAGGACCTGTGATCAAAAACCAGCTCAATACCAGCTCTTCCCACAGAACCCAGACCGTCATGCAGCTGCTGGAGGTCAGGTACCTTTAGGGGCAGCATGGGAGTTCATAATACCTATGGCCCCAGGCTACACAAAGGACTTAGCTCAAGACAAGCCAGCCCACTTGGACTGGGCTCGTAACAGTGGGTGAAACCTGAAGAGCCCCAACTGCCTGGAGAAAGGCAACCAAAGTACGCTGTTGGGCCGAGGCACAGCCTGCAGCAGTCATAGACACCATTATTTAAGTTGTATTAACTTATTCATTTTCTTACACGGGCTGGATGCCACTAACTGCAGACCTTTACCAAGACTCCCAGGCTCAGTCAATTTATGCTGATCCCAGGCCACTTGATTTCCTTCCTTCACATACCTTTCTGACTAGCATACAAAGCCAGACACCTAGGAAGACTAGGCACCTACTCTGATCACCAACATAACACCCGAGTGGAGAGGGGTGGGGTGTAAGGGAGGTGGAGCCCCACAGTAGACTCTTGGACATCGTGACCCACTCCAGTCTCAATGAACCCTATCTGATCAGGTATCACCTCCTGATATCCTTTATAGTTACACCAAGTCATGGCAGGAAAGATAAAAAAAATAGGAGAATAAGACACCCGTTGAGTGTGTGGTCGCTAAGCCTGGGTCCCTCTACACCTATGTATTTCTTCAAATCTCACGTTATCAACCAAAATGAACAATCCCAGGAAAGATAACAAAGAATGAAAAGACTATGTTAAGACATATATGCCATTAAGTGATTCTCACATATGTATTTAACTATTGCTGCTTCTTTATTGCAGCTGATTTCACTTCAAGTGGTGTCGTTCTTAAAGCATCAGGTATTAATAGCATTAGTTATAATACCACTGTTAACACAGCTGTGCAAAGAGTAAAATTAAATTCTTGCTTTACTCATCATCATCATGGCTTGACAGGATCCTTTTAAATCCACCCAAAGTGGCTTTCCATAGATACTGGTGTGGTACTCT